TCTATATATTAGGTACAATAGATATGCCATGTTTCCCAGTCTTGGCTGGGTGGCCTTATGTAGTAGGTGCTCTGTGGGCTGCATGCTCCAAGAATGTCCCTTGTGTGGATTGTATGTTCCCTCCTGTTATAGCTGAACCTTGATTGCTATTGGCATGTCAGTGAGTGGGATTGACCCTCAGTCTGACTGGCTGTGGGGTTTGGCCATGTTTATAGCTTATGGGCTGCTCTGCGAGGGGCTTACCCCACTGAGTGTTATTCACCCCAGCAGGCTCTGGTGCCTGTTGAAACCATCCATTGTGTGTGCCACTATGGGGCTAATTGGGTGGCACTCTCCTGTGGTCTGAAGCCAACCTCCAAGTATGTTGGTTTGGGGGCCTATTGGGAGGGGTTCCAGTGCAGGCGTAGGTCACCCATTGCCTGTGACTGTCTGGGGGCTACCTGGTAGGAGCTTCAAAGTGACCTACAGTTGTTCGCTGCCCGTTTTAAACCTAGAGGCATGTAGGAGAGGCCACACTGTGAACCAAGGATGTCTACCACCAGTACCGGGCCTCTGGTAGCTCTGCAAAAAGCAAGCCCAAGACCTGCTGCCTCCCTTAAGGTTCAGCTACTGATAAAGCCTCATGCAGTACATGAGTTGGGTGAAGCAGAGTCTCAGGGATTCAGTAGAGTGGGAAGAGTTGTGGTCACCAGGTTAATGCAGATTCTGGTTTGGTGCCAGTGCTGAGCCTGGAACTATTCTGCAAAAGTCTCAGAGCACACTGAGGCCAGTCGCTGCCCACCCGGGACCCGAGGACTCTGATAGTTTCCAAGAAATAGTGGCAATGCAGGCGGGGCTGGCTGCTCACTGAGAAAGTGCCTCCAGTGTTGGAGGAGTTGGGTGGGGCGGGGTCCCAGCAGACCTCAGCAGACCAATTCAGACTCAGATTTGGCCATGGGCATTGGGGGATGGCTTAACACAGGAAGTATGGTGCCCATCTGCCAGCCACATGGAAGGAGGACGCCACACTGGGAAAATGGCGACTGTCCTCCAGCCTTCACCCTGAAGACACAAACTTCAGTCTGCCCCACTCACACCCCTGACACCCCCCAAGCCACTGTCCCTCTGCTGGAGCCCATGGTGAGTGCCCGTGAGTGAGTGAGTCTGTGTGCAGGCCCTTTAAGAGGTCCTCTGGGTTTCCCGCAGCCTTTTGGCCCACACAGATGGTCAGAATTGTCACTGTTTTTCACAGCCAAATATTGTGGGATTCTTGTTCCTGGCACCAGTATTGTGGGCTGGGGAGACTGGTTTGGGACTGGGTCCCTCGCTTCTCTGGTGGGAAACACCTGCGGCTGCAATATCTCTCCTGATTCTCAAACACCACACAGATGTTTGGGGCCCATTCCGTGTCTCCACCCCTCCTTCCAGTCTCAACGTGGCTTCTCTTTTATATCCTTAGTTATAAAACTTATGTTCAGCTAGTCTTCACGTGTTTATGCAGGTTGATTTTTCTATAATTGAGTTGTAGTTTTAATGTGTTCATGGAAGAAAGCAGGCACAATGTTTATCTACTCCATCATCTTGGATCTTTCAGCCCAAACTAATCATTTTAGAGATTAGCAAAACAAGGCCCAGAGTAGCTAGCTGACTTAGTTAAGGTTAAGTTAATGGCAGAGTTCAACTGAAATCCAAATCTCTTGTAAGTCCAGCTCTCTTTCTTGTTGTATTTTTCTGCCTTTGTTATTTTATAGCCTGAAGATAGATTTCAATTGTGGGTTTGTTTTTATTAAATCTTAAAATTTTTAAAAAGGCATAATGACACTGTCTCATTATTTTTATTTTTATTGACTGTTAAATTGTATTGACTTAAGTTGGAGAGTCAATTTTAATAGCTTACCTGGGGTTTCAAAATTGTGTTTGTTTCTTTTTTTTAGCTGAGCCATCCTGCCATCTGTTGGCAGCTCAGCGGCAGCTCAGCTCAGGCATCAAACTGGTAACCTTGTTGCTCAGAGCTCGCACTCTTGAGCAAGTTCTTAACCAATTAAGCCACTAGGCCGGCTCAAAATTGTGTTTTTTTAAATTGAGGCATAATTGACATACCACATTATATTAATTTCAAGTGTGCAACATAATGATTTCATATTTGTATATATTGCAACATGATCACCACAGTAAATCTAGTTAACATCCATCACCATACATAGTTACAGAATTTTTTTGTTGTTGTGGTAAGAACTTTTAAGATTTACTTTCTTAGTAACTTTCAAATATGCAACACAGTATTATTAACTGTAGTCACCATGCTGTACATTAAATCCCATGAGTTATTTTATAACTGGAAGTGTGTACTTCTTGACTCCCTTCACCCAAGTCTTCCCATCCCCCAGCCCCTACGTCTGGCAACCACCAATTTGTTCTTTGCATCTGTGAGATTGGGTTTTGTTGTTGTTGTTATTGTTTGTGTGTTTGTTTTATATTCCACATATAAGTGAGATCCTATAGTATTTGTCTTTCTCAGTCTGACTTATTTCACTTAGCATAATGCCCGCAATCCATGTTGTTGCAGATGGCAAGATTTCATTCATTTTTATGACTGAATAATATTTCATCGTACATATATACTATATTTTCTTTATCCATTCATCTGTTGATGGACACATACGTTGTTTCTATATCTTGGCTGTTGTAAATAATGCAATAAGCATGAGTGCATATATCTTTTTGAGTTAGTATTTTCATTCAGAAAAATACCCAGAAGCAGAATTGCTGGATCATATTTTTATTGTTTTTAATTTTTAATTTAAAATGTTTGAGGAATCTCCATATTGCTTCCCATAGTGGCTGCACCAATTTACATTCTCAGTAATAGTGGACAAGGGTTCTCTTTTCTCCACATCCTCTCCAACGCTTCTTATCTCTTTGATAATGGCCATTCTTACAGGTGTAAGGTGGTATCTCATTGTGATTTTGACTTGGTTTTCCTGATGATTAGTGATACTGAGCATCATTGGGTATACCTGTTGGCCATTTGTATGTTTTCTTTGGAAAGGTGTCTACTCAAACCTCTGCCCATTTTGTAATCAGATTGTTTTTTTCTGCTACTGAGTTGTATGAGTTATATATATACAGAGGGTGCCCAAAAAATGTACATACATTTTAAGAAAGGGAAAAACTGTATTATAATTCTAATACTCAATATATACCAATAACAAAAGATGAATACAAGTCATATGTATACGTTTTTTGGCACCCCTGGTATTTTGGATGTAAAACCCTTATTGGATGTATGATTTGCAAATATCTTCTCCCGTTCAGTAGGTTCCCTTTTTATTTTGTTAATGGTTTCCTTTTCTGTACAGAAGCTTCCTAGTTGGATGTAGTCCCTCTTGTTTATTTTATTTTTGCTTTTATTTCCTTTGCTTTTGGTGTCAACCCCAAAAAAATTATTGCCAAGACCCATGTCAAGGAGTTTACCACCTATGTTTTCTTTTAGGAGTTTAATGTTTTCAGGTCTTAACATTCATGTGTTTAATCAATTTTGAGTTGATTTTTGTGTATGTTGTAAGATAGTGGTCCAGTTTGTTCTTTTGCATGCGACTGTCCAGTTTTCCCAACACCATTTATTGAAGAGACTGTCCTTTCCTCATTGTATATTTTTGATTCCTTGGTGGTAAATTAATTGACCATATAGGTGAGAGTTTATTTCTGGGCTCTCTATTCTGTCCCAGTGATCTATGTGTCTATTTTTATGCCAGTACCATACTATTTTGATTGCTTTAGCATTATAATATAGTTTGAAATCAGGAAGTGTGATGCCTCCAGCTTTGTTCTTTTTTCTCAAGATTGCTTTGGCTATTTGGGGTCTTTTGTGATTCCAAATAAATTTTAGGATTATTTGTTCTAGTTGTGGAAATGCTATTGGTACTTTGATAGGGATTGCACTAAATCTGTTTATTGCTTTGGTAGTATGAATGTTTTAATAATATTCTTCCAGTCCATGAGCATGGAATTCCTTTTCATTTATTTGTGTCTCTTTCAATTTCTCTCATCAGTGTCCTATAGTTTTCAGTGAACAAGTCTTTCACTCCCTTGGGTGAGACTTTAGGGTTTTATACGAGGTGTGACAATTAAGTTCACGAACTTGTTGCAATGATGTTGCCAACCTTTTTTGATATCAAAGGGATTATTCATTATGAATTTGTACCAACTGGACAAACAGTTAACCAAGCTGACTATTTGGAAGTGCTGAAAAGGCTGCATGAGAAAGTTAGATGACCTGAACTTTTCACCAACAATTCGTGGCTCTTGGATCACAACAAAGCACCAGCTCACACAGCGTTGTCTCTGAGGGAGTTTTTAGCCAGTAAACAAATAACTGTATTGGCACACCCTCCCAACTCACCTGGTCTGGCCCCCAATGACTTCTTTCTTTACCCCAGGATAAAGGAAATATTGAAAGGAAGACATTTTCATGACATTCAGGATATCAAGTGTAATATGGTGACAGCTCTGATAGCCATTCCAGAAAAAGAATTCCAAAATTGCTTGAAGGGTGGACTAGGCGCTGTCGTTGGTGCATAGCTTCCCAAGGGGAGTACTTCGAAGGTGAATGTAGTGATATTCAGCAATGAGGTATGTAGCACTTTTTCTAGGATGAGTTTGTGAACTTAATTGTTAGACCTGTATATATAATAACTTATCTGCTGCAAATAGCGAGTTTTACTTCTTTCCAATTTGGATGCCTTTTATTTCTTCTTACGTAATTGCTCTGGTTAGGACTTTTGATAACTATGTTGAATAAAAGTGACGAGAGTGGACACCTTTGTCTTGTTTCTGTTCTTAGAGGAGAAGCTTTTAGCTTTTCATTATTGAGTATGATGGTAGCCATGGCTTCTCAAATATGGCCTTTATTATGTTGAAATACGTTCCCTTTATAACTGTTTTGCTGAGATTTTTTTAAAAAATTATAAATAGATGTTGAATTTCAAAATTGTATTTCTAATGGGTCTCTTTGTTTTCAGCAGGCATATGGCTATGGTCCATATGGTGGTGCATACGTGCCAGGAACTCAAGTTGTCTATGCTGCGACTGGACAGGTTTATGCTGTACCCTACCAGTACCCATATGCAGGTAAGTCATACCATCCTTCTATTCCTTGTTTCTCTTCGTTTGCAGCCATAGATCACTGAAGCCTGGAGGATTTTTATTTCTCAATTTAAGGATAAGTGAGCTATGTTTTCTGGTTATAGACTGCAGCTTACTCTGCTACTACTCTTTTTTTAAGCATTATGTATTTTTACACTGCTTTACAAATCTAAAGTGGTAGGCTTGATTTTTAAAACTTCACTATTGTATCCAGATTTGTTCCCAAGAAGAGAGTTTACACTTACTGGGGTTTACTTACATTATGAAGCAACCAAGCTAAGAGGCCCATTTTAAGGGATAAGAGATATTCTTTTTTGTATTTTTATTTCCTTCTGGTAACATCCTTCAAAAATTATCATTATTGAGGTGACGTTTCAATTTGTAAGTAAAGTGGAGGCCTGGAGGAGCTTATATTATTCTGGACTTTTGATGTGCTTCTTTCGATTTTTCACCTCACTTGAAACAAATTGTAGGTTTGAGTGAATGGCCTGTGTTGGGAGCATCCTGCTTTGGGTGTCCCCTGGGCAGGGTGGAGGTATAGGTGAATGCTCACCCTGGACTGGAGTGTACAGCAAGTGCTAGGAGTACCAGAGCGTGTGGCTGATGAACTGAAGAACAGGTGAACTCAGGCAGGGGCAGTCTGCAGTGGACATGATCACGTATCAGATCAACACAGAAGAGAATGAGCTGGGGAATAGACTGGAATGGGAGGCAACCCGTACCTCATGATTGGGCCTCCAAGGGGCTATGAGCAAACCTAGTGCAGTGGAAGGAGAATCTCTTACCAAAAAGGTGAGTAGCCTCTGATATAGCCACAGCGAAACTAAGGGGGCTACCATAGGGTCTCTGGATTTGGCTGGCCCCAGAGTCAAAGTGTCCTTCTAGTTATTGGTGGTTACTTTGGTTTCTCATACATTAGCACTTAATAATACAAGAGAGAGTTTCTATACTCATCTGTTCCTGAAATCTCATACAGTTCACTCAACTAGCATTGACTAGGAAGGATTCTGCCTTGCCTGACTCTTTTTTAATGTCAAATTGAAAACCAATAAAATAATGATGTGATAAGTGAAATATTTACCCATTGGCTGAGGCTAGCACAGTAATTCAACAAATTTGAATTACTTTCCCCTATATAAAATAAATTTTTCATGTTTATAATCTTATATTACTTTTTGACATTTTTTTTCTAATTTTATATATTTTATTCAGAGTGCTACATAATCTTCATAAGTATTTTTAATGATTTAATATTATATTGGGTGATATATTATTATTAGTTAAGTCTTCTAGTATTGGCTGCTTATACTTTTCCTTTTTAGCTATTGTAGGTATTGCTTGGACATCTCTAGTCATTTTCTTTTTCATTCATTTTAAATATGTGGTAGAATACATTTCTTATTTCTGTTGCTTTATTTTATGTTTCTGTGATGACTGGCAAAGATAAACATTGTATAATTGTTTACAAATTAGATTGTCCCTTTATGAATTTTTTTTTGCCTTTTTATTTTGGGGTTGGTGGTCGGTTTTTAAGCTCTAACCTAACCATACCATGAGAGCCAGCCTCTTCTTATTCAGCTCCCAAGCCACAGACTGGGGTAAGCCTACTGTTACTTATCCTATAGAAGAGGAGAAATTCTGCAGTAGTGCTTATAAAGGGAATTTCTATAAATTGGATACCTTCCTGCCCTTGACTTTCCTCATAAAAAAAAGAAATAGCACTCTCACAGGGAACCTCAGAATACTTGCTGCAGAGGGTCAAATCAAGTCGGTAGATATTTGTTATTAGTGTTGTGACCAACCAGCAGACGTACTTGCTGTGGAAGGACTGGGTTGGCTTGTGGTCATCCCACCACAGTATTATGCTTATAACCATACAGGAGCCCTTTAGGCTGACTTTATAAGACACCGCAGTGTTTTGCCAGTTTCATGATGTATTGCCTTCCAATGTCTATAGAGACCCTTGTCATGCATAGAGCTGGCTAAATACCTTCTCTTTGATATGAGTGGGACTAGTAGCCAGTCAGCCCATGTGAAAAATACAGAGTGCTATATATACACCGTAAGTATTGTTTTAGTCACCCTCTTTAGTGGACATTTGTTCAGCTATCTTTTGATGTGGGCTTGAGGGCTTTGCTTTGAGTTACCTCCCTTGGAGTCTTCATTTCTGTCTTGTAGAGATCGTACTCATGACACATTATTGCACTGCAATTTCCAGGGGCAAGTCCAAGAGCAGACCTCTAGATTTTGTGGTTCTAAGCTTCCTTTCCCCCATCTTTTATAATTTACTCAATTCCTTGGTTTGATAGTAATTTGTAAAAGTTACCTGCCTTTATTTAGTCTTTTCTAAAATACCTAACTTGTCATAGAAACAATATCTGTCTTTTTCACCTTCACATTTTGACCATTTATGTAATGCTTAGGTAAATTAGATAATTACAATAAATACTATTAGACAATCCCCACTGACTTTGGTATTGACTTACCGTAGCTACCTGGTAAAGGCAGAGATAAGCAGTAGCTGCAGGAGAGTGGTCTCCTGGTCATTTAAGGGGATCCCTTGGTGTGACCTACAGAGGGAATGCAGATTAGATTTTTGAGGGGATCTTTTAATTAGGTCAGTTTACGAATTCCTACAGTGTCATATTTAACTAGTTCGAGTTGTCAATTTGAAATTTTTAAATTTCAGGGCTGTGAAAATGAATGCTACAGTTCATCAGTTTTGAAATTTAAACATTTCATAAAAAATCATTTGCTTCTAATACTGGTTGTTACCTGTACTTAATCAGCCCTTAGAGGTTTATAATGGTCTTATTATCCTACTCTGTGGCTTTGATTTTTCTTGCCATCATATTTGAGGCATTAGTCGTTATGAATGCACAGTAACCTGAGGGCCTGGGTTTGCTCTTTCTGCCCTTAACTCCCCTGTGCTGCCCATTTTGCTCACCTATAAGATGGGAGAGGGAAGCAATAATAAACTCATCTCATAGTATTGTTGTAAGGATTAAGTGCATGTAAATGCTTTTACCACTGTAAATGCTTAGACTGGGAAGCTAGGTTAATGTTAGCTTTATTATCATTGTTTGTTTCACTTCATTCTTCATCTACTTGTACACGTTACCATTGGGCTAGTTTCTAGCTGTCCTAGAGTTGAACTGTTGTTAAAGGTCAAGGAGGAAAGTTAACACTATTTATATTTGAGTAATTTAAAAGCAAATTAGCTATTAGACAACAAAGTCGTGACATATAGAAGAGAACAAACATTACATTTCCAGTTGTAAAACTTTAACCATACAAATTAAATATTAAATTTGTTTAAAAGTTTGCTTTTTAGAAGTTTGTCCTCTAACATAAATATTTTCCCCATAAAAACTTATGATTAAAAATTAAAAGCAAGTAATATTAGCACATTTAAGGTTTAATTTAAAAAGTGATTTGCATAAATCCTAAGAAGCCAATTAGCTTTTATATGGGTTTCTAAATTTTTAGCTTTTGTTGAGGATTCTCAACTCGATTCTCCCATTGTCTATAAGCTCTTATCTCCCTTACTCCCCCTATCTTCCTGTCATCCTGATAAGCATGATTTAGAGAACTCAAGTGGAAATTGGAGACTGGAGTTTACAACTTCATTTGCATTCTGCTCTCTCAGTGTTTGGGACTTTGGACCTTCAAAAGCTGACATCTTGATTTTCTCTTAGTGTGATCTTCTTAGAAAGAGGTGTTCTCACTAGGCCAAGTCTGGTCACCTTAGCCTGTGCTGGAGGAGTGCTGTGGAATTCTCACTGTAGCCACCCCACCACCTCTGCAGAAGAAGACAAAGCCGTAGGAGGAGGGAAGCAAATGCCAAGGAGCAATGACCTTGACTACTCCCAGAAAGGGTCCCAGTTGAGTCAGCCATCTTTTTCAGTTTGGCTTCACAAACTGCTCCTTAGAGGTATATATTTTTTCTCCTTTTTTAGGACTTTATGGACAGCAGCCTGCCAACCAAGTCATCATTCATGAGCGGTATCAAGATAATGACAGTGATCTGGCCCTGGGCATGCTGGCAGGAGCAGCCACAGGCATGGCCTTGGAGTCTCTGTTCTGGGTCTTCTAGAGTCCTTGAAATCTGGATGTACATGGCTTCTGATACCCTTGTGTAGTAATATTATTTGCTGGGCATTTTAGTTTGTGATAAATGTTTTCAATAGTTCTTTTGAAAGTAGTGACATGGTAGTTACAACTAATCCATATAAGTACCACAGAAAAGGCTTTGGACTGCTTTTTAGCCAAAATATGGACTCTGGGGCATGATCTCATTCCAATAGTTTCCTTGTGGAACTCTTGAAATACCTTATTCGAACATATCTGTTTTGAAAGGCATTTTCTTTTTGGAGTTAGGTGTAGTGCTTAAGGAATAATTTATTTAGTGTTAGGCTAGTAATATGGTGAATGAGTGAGTTATTCCACAATTGTGGCAAAAAAACCCCAGCAGCTTCTTTTGGTTTAACAACAGACTTTCAAACCTCAGACCAGAACTGGCTGCACATTACTTCAGTTTTGGGCTGATCAGCCACTAGGGAACTTCCCTGAGGCCATGGTATAATAGCCCCAGGACCGCTGGGGCTTTTCAGGCCTCCAGCAAGTCTGACAGCTCAGGATGATGGGTGGACGCAGGCCAATCCCCCTTTTAAAATGATGCATTTTCTGTTTGGTCTTACTTGTTTGTTTTTGGTAGCAATCCTTGGAAAGAACACCAAATTTGGAATTGACTTGAGCCTCAAAGTTTTAGGGCTTTATCTTTTAAAACTTGAAGAAGGCAAAACACAAACGAATGTGTGGAGGTAGATTTGCCTTATTCAGAGACATTGTGCTTTTAATGTTGGCTTGGAGTATTTTTATTGCCACCTCTGCCTACTTATGGCTTATTTTTCTACTTCTCAAGAAAGTCATATTGAAGGAATGGTGAAGAAAATAGAATGGGAGTCATAGTTTGTGTTACTGCTCAGGCCTGGCAGGAGACTCTTTTTCCATTCTCCTGAAGGCTGTTAAAGAGCAGGTTCCTTCCCTATCCTGTGCTGCACTGGGACACTGTGGCTGCCCTGTGAGTACTGGGGTGCATGGAACCCTGCTGGTGGCATGGTGGGGGCTTTTTGGACCATGACTGTTGGGGAGATTCTGGGGGTAGATGGGAAATGAGGCATTACCTGCTCAAGATACCATCTAACCTGGACAGGGTGCCAGTCTGCTTTTTATTCCTGACTCAAATGCCCTAGAGAAGCTTAAACCATTTAATTTTGATCCCCAACTATGTGTGAGCTCTGGAAAATCCACAGTCCTGCATTTTTGTTATTTCTTATTTCTTTAACTATGTGCATTTTTAAAGTTCCTAATTATTCCAGTTTTCTGTCCCACATGCTTTTTTCTTTCTTTCCCACATGCATTAAAAATGTACTTTTACAAATGCAGTGTAGCAAGGTGACAGCTCCCACTCCAACACTCCAGGTGGCCCTATTTTCCATAAAATATACTCCTAGTAGCACAAACTGTTTTTATTTTGTATGGCTGGTTACATATATACTCTCTTGTTTTACTGGTCAACCGACTCCATCTCTGCAGCCTACTTAAACACATCTTCATATGAAAGCAGATGCCAAATGAACTTTGTGGTGACTACTGATCTGTTTTCCTAGCCAATTCTAGTGGATTCTTTGACACTGGAGAGTGTCTGTTTCCAGTCGAAAGGAAGTGTACTTGACTGTCCTCTCTTTGGGTGTTTGACATGGTGGAAAATAGCCAGATGCGATGCATTACAGCACTAGTTTTGGTGGTTAAGAATGTTGCTTTTATGACTTTACATATGTGTAATAAGAAGGGATTTTTCAGAAGGTAATCATTTATTAAAGTTGTATGCTTTACTTATGGAAATTAAACACAGTTTTTATTGTTGCATTGGAGTATTAATTTTGAACTTGAAGTTACTATTGGGTTGTCAGAAAAGCCATGACGTATTTTCCTGTATTTTTTGTTGTAAAAATGTGTCATGACTTTTCCGACAACCCGATAGACTCATAGAGTATTGAGTTACGTCCCTGAAATGCCCTTGATGCACATTCTCCCTGTGTTCCTTTGACTGCCCTCTGACTGAAGGGGGAGTACTGTGGACTAAAGCTTGGGCACACGTGTATGCCCCCATCCCCTGTCCACACTGGGGCCAAGCCTCATGGGCAATCATAGTTGAACCTCAAAATCATTGTCACTTGAGACTTGATCCTGATATGAAATGCATACTGGATATTAAGATGGGCTGAAACATTTCATTTCCCTGGTCTCAACTCCCATAGATGCCAACTTTTTGATCACTTCACTTACATCATCCTAAAACAAGAAGTTAGGTGCATTGGAAGGAACTTGTTCAGGTTTGAGTAAGCATTTTACTTCCCATTTGTACTTTTAAGTAATGTACCTAGAAGAAGTTGGTCAATGACATTGTGCACATTCCAATCTGATTGTTTTCTAGCTCTTCTTTTTAATTTATTGAGTTAACTTTAGGGACGTATATAGTAAAAAGAAGGGAGACACCAGTCGCTGTGTTTCAGATCATCATTCATGAAACAGGCCAGACCAGTAACCCAAGATCCTGGATCATATGGAGAAGTTTCTGCAGTTGAGACAGAATGACCTAAGATTATTTCCTACATCATTTGTGATGGTGTGTAATCTTTTGTCTTCTTCCCAAGTTTATGTAGACACAGGCATGGAATGTGGTTCCATTTTTTCTCCCTAGAGTTCATTTTTTTTTCTGATTGCTTCCCTGTCTAGTATTCCCTTGTGCCCACAGAACCTATTTTTCCCTGTATATGCAAATTGTATGTTTATAAGTGAAAGTGATAATACATTAAATGATATTAACCTTAAAGCATGTTTCATTGTGATTTCTTTTTTTTATTCAATTTATTTAAACTAAAAAAACAACAAAAATTGTTCACCCATTTCTCCTACCTCCCTCCCCCTGCAATACACACCTCTGGCAACCACGAATCTGTTTTGTGTTTTTAACTGTTTTGTAGTAACACACTGTTACCTTTTTCTACTGCATGTGGGCAACAAAAATTCCATTTTTAGAGCATTCTTAAGTGATTGAGAATGTATCCTCACATTAGAAAACAATAACATTAAATTCTTATAGTGACTCTGTAAGGCAGGTATTAGCCAAGTTATACTGGATGAAACTGTATCTAAGTTAAATACTTTTCTCAGGCGCACATAGGTAGTAAGTGAAATGAGTTTATATCTGATTAAAACATATTCTTTTTCCCTATGCCATGTGCCTATAGGAATATAATTTCCACAAGAACATATGGGTGGCATATGTAGCCATATGTTTTTTCTTTGTTTTTGTTTTTTTAATTGGGGAATTGGGGGAGGAGAACAGTGTTGGGGAATTGGGGAAGGGGACCAGCCAAGTTGTTGTTCTCCAACCTTAGTTGTGGAGAGCGCCAGTCACCATCTCACTGCCCATCAGCAGCTCGTGGCCTCTAAGCTCAAGGTGTTGTGTTCAATCTTAGCTACATGCGGGCATAGCCACTGTCCCATGCAGGAGTCAAACCAGCAGCCTTGTTGTTAAGAATGCACGCTGTATCCACTGAGCCATTCAGGTAGCAACTCAGCTCAAGGTGCCGAGTTCAGTCTTAGTTGTGGGTGGGCATAGCCACCATCCCGCACCATCCCATGCAGGAGTCAAACCAGCAGCCTTGTTGTTAAGAGCGCATGCTCTATCCACTGAGCCATCCAGGTGGCAGCTCAGCTCAGGGTGCCGAGTTAAGTCTTAGTTGAAGGCAGGCATAGCCCGCCATCGAACAGGCAGTCTTGTTAGGAGCACGTGCTCTCACCAGCTGAGCCATCCTGTCACCTGTTGGCAGCTCAGCTCGGGTGCAGCGTCACTGGCTCATGTGGGAATTGAACCGGTGGCCCTGTTGCTCAGAGCTTGTGCTCTTAAGCTAACTCTTAACCAACTGAGCCACTTGACTGCCCCTGTAGTCATATTTTTAAGACGACTGTTAGAAAACTGACAGTATCAACTGAATAAATGAGCAAACTAAACAGAAATAGTCTTAGAGATATAGAGGAAAAACTGATGGTTGTTAATTGGTAGGGGGGTGGGGATGAGGGAGAAGGTTGAGGGGATTAAAAATCACAAATTGGTATTCACAATATTGCCATGGGGATAGGAAAGACAGTTTGGGGGATATAATCAATAGTGTAAAGATTTTGTAGGGTGTCAAATGGGTACTTGTCTTATTAGGGAGACCACTTCATGGAAGGTGTAGATGCCTGACCACTGCAGTGTACACCTGAAGCTGAAGCTGAATAATAATGATCAACTATAATTTAGTGTATGTTTAGTCACAGGATATGGAGTACAGCATAGGAAATAGAGTCAGTGAAATTGTAATGACTATATACAATGTCAGAGGGGTTATAGATTGGGGGAGGAGGGTTATCACTTTGTGAGGGATGAAATGTATATTACGTTGTTTTGTATACTTGAAACTAAAAAAACAAACAAAAAAACTGACAGTACTTTCTTCAATCACATCCACTTTGCAGTGTGGGTCCAGTAACTACTGCAATATCTTTGGGTACATGACTTCATGTTTTTTGTTTTTTAAAATTATTTTAAATTAGTTCCTGAATTCAGTTTCCTCTGGGCTAGCTTTTCTGTTTATCTTACTTGTTGCAGACTTTGATTGAATGATGATGCATGCATGGTTGCCTGTTATAGTTTAAGATGAGTCTCATACTAGAAACTCTGGGTCTCTTGTTTTCATTTCTTTGGAGAAGAATCCTCTAATATTTTGCCTGGAGACAGCTATTTCTGGATGTCATGGAAGGTAGACACTCCACACACACTGTAGCACTTACCCTTTCAGCCTGACTTCATTCCCATCTCCTGACATGCTGACCCCCACTACATCCAGCTCTTTGTTTAAAAACTTAATTTTTTGAATAGGTTATACATAACTCCAAAATAATAATACAACAGTAGATTCAGTAAAGGGTCTTCCATCTGCCCATTTCCTGCCATCTTTGCTTAACCACTGGTACTAGTCTATTTATCCTTTCTGAGTTTCTTCATGCATATATAAACTAGTACAAATATATATTCTTATTTGTCTCCCTTTTTTACACAAAAGGATAGTATATACACCAACAGTACTCACATATTTTGGTCTCAGATCCTTTTATGTTATTCCATTTCTTTTCTTTAATTTTTCAGTTACAGTTGATATTTAATATTATTTTATATTAATTTCAGGGGTACAGCATAGTGGTTAGACATTTGTGTAACTTACAAAGCGACTCCCCAATAAGCCTAGTACCCACCCAACACCATACATAGTTATTACAATATTATTGACTGTATTCCCTATGCTGTACTTTACATCCCCATGACTATTTTGTAACTACCAATTTGTACTTCTTAATCCCTTCACCTTTTTCATTTACCCCCAAACCCCCTCCCATCTGGCAACCATTAATTTGTTCTTTGTAACATGAATCTGTTTCTGTTTTATTTATTCGTTTATTTTGTTCTTTAGATTCCACATATGGTATTTGTCTTTCAATGTTTACTTATTTAACTTAGCATAACACCCTCTAGGACCATCCATGTTGTCACAAATAGTAAGATTTCTTTTTTTTATGGTCAATTAATATTCCATTGTATTCTTCTTTATCCAATTTTCTATTGATGGGCACTTTGGTTGCTTCCATATCTTGGCTATTGTAAATAATGCTGCAGTGAATGAACATAAAGGTGCATATATCTTTTCAAATTAGTGTTTTGGATTTCTTCAAATAAATACCAAGAAATAGAATTGCTGGGTCATAATAGTAGTTCTATTTTTAATTTTTTGAGGAACCTCCAAAGCATTTTCCATAGTGGCTGCACCAATCTACAATCCCACCACCAGTGCACAAGGGTTCCCTTTTCTCTGCATCCTCGCCGACACTTGTTGGCGATTTATTGATGATAGCTGTTCTGATAGGTGTGAGGTGATATCTTGTGGTTTTATTTGCATTTCTCTGATGATTAGTGACATTGTGCATCTTTTCATATGGTTATTGGCCATCTGTATGTCCTCTTTGGAGAAATGTCTATTCAGGTCTTCTGCCTATTTTTTAATTAGATTGTTAGATTTTTTGGTGTTGAGTTGCATGAGTTCTTTATATATTTTGGTTATTACAATATTTTGTTATGTATAATGTGCTCCTGTGTATAATGCGCACCCATGTTTTTGGCCCAAACTTTCAGGGAGAAAAATCTTTTATTTTAATTTTTTAATTCAATTTTATATTTGTTTCCATTTAGGTACTTGTTTTTGTATTATAAAGGAATTTTAGCATTTATTTTTTAACATATTATGGTACAAGAAGTTTTATGTAACAAATAAATTACAAACACAAGAACAGATACAAAGTACAAGAAATTTTATGTACTGGTAACAAATTTACGATATTTATGCATCATAGTAGGTCAAGGACTCTTCGTTGTTGCAAGTTTGTCTTAAGTTCAACAAAGCTGGTTATCGTATTCCAGGGTATTATTTTGCATATGGATATCGTTATTGATTTCCAGAGTTACACTTTTAACTCATAAGCATAAATAAAACAGTTTAAAGCATTTATATAGATACAGAATTAGTACTACCCATGCATAAAGTGCATCCTTGTTTTTCCCTCACAAATTTGGGCAAAAAAGTGTGCATTATACAAGGCAACATACGGTAACCCTTTATTGGATATATCATTGGCGAATATCTTCTCCCATTCAGTAGGTTATCTTTTCGTTTTGTTGATGGTTTTCTTGGCTGTGCAAAAACTTTTTAGTTTGATGAAGTCTCACTTTTTTTTCTTTTGTTTCCCTTGCCCAAAGAGATAAATCGAAAAAAATATTATTAAAAGCCATGTCAGAGAATTTACTGCCCATGTTTTCTTCTAGAAGGTTTTGAGTTTTAGGTCTTAACATTTAAGTCTTTAATCCATTTTAAGTTTATTCTTGTATATGGTGTAAGAAGGTGGTCTAGTTTCACGTTTTTTGCATGTATCTGTCCAGTTTTCCCAACACCATTTACTGAAGAGTCTACCTTTATTGTATTGTGTATTTTTGCTTCTTTTGTCATACATTAATTGACCATATAAGCAGAGGTTTATTCCTAGACAGTCTTTTCTGTTCCATTGATCTGTATATAGTTTTATTCCAGTACCATATAATTTTGATTACTATAGTCTTGTAGTATAGTTTGCTATCAGTGGGTCACTTGTGTGATACCTCCAACTTTGTTTTTTTAATTTCTCTTTTGGATGGTTTGTTATTGTATTAAAAATGCAACCAATTTCTGAATATTAATTTGTATACTGCTACTTTACTGAATTCATTTATCAGTTCTAAATTCTTTTGGTGACATCTTTAGGGTTCTATATAGTATCATGTCATCTGCATATGACAGTTTTACTTCTTCCTTTTCAGTTTGGATGCTTTTTACTTCTTTTTGTTGTCTGACTGCTGTGGCTAGGACTTCCAGTTCTATGTTGGATAAAAGTGGTGAAAGTGGACACCCTTGTCTTGTTCCTGATCTTAAGGAAAACACTTTTAGCTTTTCCCCATTAAATATAATGGATGTTAGCTGTGGGCTTGTCATATATGGCCTTTATTATGTTGAAGTATGTTCCCTGTATTCCCACTTTGCTGACAGTTTTAATCATAAATGGTATTGGATTTTGTCAAGTGATTTTTCTGCATCTATTAATATGATTATATGACTTTTATCCTTCATTTTGTTTGTGTGGTAATCACATTGTGGATGTTGAACTAACCTTGCATCCCAAGAATAAATCCCACTTTACTGTGGTATA